GCCACTGACTGCTACCTTCTGCCGCCTTCGATACAGCTCTAATTGCCGAACGCTGGCTCTGGCCCTTACTTCCCAGGTCTTTAAGCAGTTTGGTTGTAGATGTTCCCACAAAACCTCTGCAGCCCACCTCCACTGGTTGGACTTCTGTGTTCCAACCATGATGCCGTGCTTCGGTAGCTAGATCGCCATAGCGCAGATGTTTTCGCTCATAAGCCTCACCTACTGAGTCCTCCCAGGGTACTGTGAGCTCAATAATGAAGACCTTCTTGAGTGAACTGGACCAGAGCACCATGTCAGGTCTTAGGGTGGTGGTTACGATCTCCGGAGGAAACACAAGTTGCCGACCAATGTCAGCTACCATTTTCCAGTCGCGGGCCAAGCGCAGCTGGTCTCGCTCTGATGGTGTAGAGCTGCTCTTCTGTGGTTTTGCCCCTTCACGGACAAAAGTCGTCCGTAAGGGGTGTGATGCTGCTGGGGGTAGTAGGGAGTTGGTGGCGGCTCGCTTGTCCTCCAGTGCGGACGCAAGGTTTTTTAAGACTGGTTGTGACGCCAGGTGTAGCGTCCTTGGGTGAGGCTTGTTTTACACCCTGTGAGAATATGCCTGAGGTTGGCTGGCATGGAACAGAGGGCACAGTCTGGATCTTCACCATACCATTGGTGAAGATTAACTAGTGTTGGAAGGACGTCATACGTTGCTCTGATGGAAAAGCTCAACCTCCTCGCTTCCATGGCCCACAGATCCTTCCAGCTAATCTTCCTCTTCTCCACACTGTCCCATCGAGTCCACTAGGGGAGCACACGCTTCATGCCGCAATGCATGCTGGGAGCCATACGTTTTACATTATTGTGGCTCCCAGCATGCATTGCGGCATGAAGCATGTTACCATTGTTGAGATTCATATGCTGATTCTTGATGTCTGTGTCTTGGAAAAAAAAATCCCCATAATGTATTTTAAAAGTCAAAAATCAGAATGTCCGATCTGTGGCAAGAGAGTATTGTTAGTGAATATAATGTATTAACATCATATAACCACTTTTGGACAGTGATGAGATAAGTGCATTATTCTATTTATTGTTGTTGAAAACTATATCACCTGATCATCATTGTTTTTGGCTTTCTTTGTAACAAACTACATGTTATGGTAAAACCTGTTACAAAAACCACAAACTCAGAATAAAAGCCAAGAGTCAAATCTGACCAACTAAAGGAAACACTCATCGCCATAATGGTGATCAAACATTTTCAATAAATCATCAACATCTAAACTTCTGTTAATTCTCAATAAGACCTTCTGTAGACTTAACAGAAATCAAGTCAGTCTGGTTAGTAATAAGTGAAGCTGGTAATGCTGTTTGTGGAGTTGTTTAATCCTCCTCTGCTGAGAACTAGAGAGATGTAATGTCTTTTGTCTACATTTGATTTCATTAAGGCTGTGGCTAAAAGTCAGTTGTAGTTCTTGTTTATCTTTTTTTCTATTCTTGTTTCTCTTTCCTTCAGTGATTCTGCTTGTTGACAGCAGGTGTTCATCATTAATGCCCAATCATCACTTAATTAATAACTTAAGTATCTCATTAACTTTAACTCTGATTCAGAGTTATTTTAACTCTCTGTAGAGAGGGACCAAATGTTCTCTGAGCAGAGTTAATTTAACTCTGGGGATTTTGCTGTGTAATAGAGCCATTATGGGAGGGTCTTTGTCTTTCTCAGGTGTGGAATGCCACACATATTAATGAAAGATCACGCCTCCCCGCATAAAGCTTTCTCAAACAAAACACGTCATTAAAAATGTAAAAGACTTTATTGACTTATCTGAATGAGTAGTCAGGATGATTCTCACATAGTTTTGGAGCAAATATTCTAGACTATGTGATACAATTTTCAAAGGTCGTGTGAAGAAATAATCAATATGTGTTTTGTGGCCTTATTTCAGAAACCTTTATTTTTAAGTTTTTCAATAACCATGCATAAATAATATTCTCTCAAAAATACAAACGTACATACATGTTGCTCACATATCATGGTAGCCCCGTTTGTGCTATATAGAGTGAATTTACACCTTTGCCATTAACATGTTTATAAATAACTGAAAAAAGCACAAATGTCAGTGCATGTCAAAACATCCCAAGGGCCCCAAAAACACCCTGGTCCCCAGAGGGTTAAAGTAATAGTGGCACCTACTGGCAACAGGAAGTGACATGTTTTACAGTGTCATGCAGTACTAGCAACATAGTAAATATGCCATTGAGTTATAAACATGTTAGAAACATCTTAAAGGAACACTCTGACTTTTTGAAACTTTAGCCTATTCACCTTATCCCCCAGAGTTAGAAAAGTCCATACATACCTTTTTCATCTCCGTGCGTGCTATAAGTCTGTTTGACGCACCCACCGCTACCCTAGCTTAGCACAAAGACTGGATGTAAATGGTTGCAGCTAGCATACTAATCCAAATAAGTGATAAAATAACGCAAACATTTTTCTATTTACATGTTGTGATTTGTATAGTCACAGAGTGTACAAAAAACGAAGTCACATGAGACACAGACATATTTTAACCGTATAAATACTGGGAACTATATTCTCTGAAGGCGAAGCACTGCTACTTGGGCGGAGTGATAACCGCAGCACCTGAGACGCGCTCTCTGCTCCTCACCACGGCGCGTCTCAGGTGCTGCGGTTATCACTCCGCCCAAGTAGCAGTGCTTCGCCTTCAGAGAATATAGTTCCCAGTATTTATATGGTTAAAATATGTATGTGTCTCATGTGACTTTGTTTTTTGTACACTCTGTGACTATACAAATCACAACATGTAAATAGAAACATGTTTGCGTTATTTTGTCACTTATTTGGATTAGTATGCTAGCTGCAACCATTTACATCCAGTCTTTGTGCTAAGCTAGGCTAGCGGTGGGTGCGTCAAACAGACTTATAGCACGCACGGAGATGAAAAAGGTATGTATGGACTTTTCTAACTCTGGGGGATAAGGTGAATAGGCTAAAGTCCCAAAAAGTCGGAGTGTTCCTTTAAAACATGCTAGCAATTCTTAGCTAAGTGCTAACACATACTAAAGCAATGAAACAGGGAGTTGTTTTTACTGAAGAAGGCAATGTCCAATCTGCCCTAAACTTCACACGTTTGATAAGAGTCCTGCCCTGAACATATCTCTACATGACCATTTTAAGTTAAAGTAATAGTGCCACCTACTGTCAAAAGGAAGTGACATATTTTACACTGTGATGCAGTTTTAGCAACATATTAAATATGCCATTGAGTTCTAAACATGCTAGAAACATGCTAAAACATGCTAGCAACACTTATCTGAGTGATAACGCATACTATTATCCCCACAATAAAGGACATTTTTGTAATTGACTTTGACATACTCCTCCTATATTTACCTACTTAAATGCACATTGCCCACCGTGCTCTGTCTTCCTAAAGCCACCGGGTGGCGGTGGCACGGGCGCGAGGGCCCTTTTAATGCTGCTTGCAGCTTTAATGTTGTTGTTGTTTTTCTTACTTTGAGTATTATATTAATATAGTAATATTATATTATTATATTATTATACATCTATTAGAGCTGCATGATTCTGGTTCAAATTGAGCATCACGATTTTTTGTTTTGTTTAAAACCGAGATCACGATTCTCCCACTATTCTGAACCGACATCTAAATAACAAAATAACATGCACTTTACTAGAGGTTCTGACACAATTTAACTTTCTGCGGTCTATTTAAAAAACAAAACAAAAAAAACATTTAATTCATTTGAATAATTAAAACACATCTTTGGAATGATTCAATGACTCACTCAAATACTTCACTTCATTGCTGGATAAATCTGCGTTTTTAAACTAATCTCTTGAATAAATGATTCGATTGTATTTCTTTAACAGTCACTCGTCGCCACCTACTGGTGTAACGATGTCATTGATCCAATCTTTATTTGAATCGTTTCGTTTTGCTACCGTAGACATCAGTGTTTATATCCAAAAATTACTTATCTGGAAATATGAATTATTGTATAACAGAAATAATGATACTGTGTGGTTGAAAAGACTGTTTAAGCTCTCTCTCTCTTACACACACACACACACACACAGAGACTGTTTAAGCTGTTTCATACCTATACATGACAACTGCTCTCTGGGTCAGCGGCAGCAAACTTGAATGTTGGCTGTGATCGCACTAGTCAAAGGTTTAAGATTGTGATCTTTTAACCGTTAATCATGCGGCTCTAACTGGTAAAATGCCCTCCATAAGTAAAATGCTAAAGTCCTCCGAGACTCAGTCAGGAAACCTTTTAAATCACAAGATGGTGCTTTTTTAAGTGGGCTGTTCTATCATGCGTTGGCATGAAAGAGAGAGAAACCACATGTGATACCAGATACCAGAGACATGAAAATAGTTTCCATGGGCAACAGGAAATATCCAGTTTAGCGGGCAATATACTGAAATATGTGTTCGAACAATATAGAATTAGAGTGGCCTTTTATTGTGGGCAGCCTAAGGCACACCTGTGCAATAATCATGCTGTTTAATCAGCATCTTGATATGCCACATCTGTGAGGTGGATGGATCTCGGCAAAGGAGAAGTGCTCACTAACACAGATTTAGACAGATTTGTGAACAATATTTGAGAGAAATAGGCCTTTTGTGTACATAGAAAAAGTCTTAGATATTTGAGTTCGGCTCATGAAAAATTGGGGCCAAAACAAAAGTGTTGCGTTTATAATTTTGTTCAGTGTATATGTCTTAGAACAGCTGTGATCCGACCGTTCAAAATGGGGTATTCCAGAGAGATGTGCAATAAAGTATTTTAATGTGAACATGTAAATGAAGCACTGGGTTGAATTTTTTTTTTGTACTGTGAGTTTTGTAAAGCTGAAAAACCTCCTGTCTTGTTTAGGTTCTGCATTTGTTTACAGTCAGCTTTTTAACCTGGTGATCACTGATAACATCCTAATACTCAGAATTGCATTGCCTTCTAATTGACAGATTTGATCATTATTCTGCGAATATGATGGTGGACGGGAAGCCAGTGAATCTGGGTCTGTGGGATACAGCAGGACAGGAGGATTACGACAGGCTCCGCCCCCTGTCCTACCCTCAAACGGTACGATCACACCGCTCACAACTTATACAGTTTTTCACAATTGCTTAGACACATTTAAACTACAGGGCCGTTAAATACTTGAATCTGATTGGTTGACGAATGTTCGAAGGTGTGCAATTATTTTCAGGGAAATGCACGGCTAAAGTAGTTCCGGCAGGTTTGACCGCATTACAGTTTCCATATCACTGCGCGTAGTTGACTAATAACGAAAAATAGGATACAATTCATAACAGGAATGAACATGCAGCCCCATGCGCTTGATCTGCCATTTCCGATGTCTAACTTCACAATCAATGTAAAACATGCAGTTTAATTTTAATGAATAAAGTATATAGTCCTATCTATAATCAATAGAAAATTAAACTGAATACATAAATAAATTGGTAGTCCTGCTGCACGGGTTTTCGTAGTTATTGCAGATAATATAACAAAAAAATTATTATCAATAGGCCTATACTTGTTAAAAGGGCTTTGTGTTTCTAATAGAAAGTAATATTGACTTTGTGTCAATAATAGAAAAAAAAGAATGAACGAATTAATTAAAACGAATTGAATTAATAAATAATAATATTGACGCACATGCCTCTCTCTCTCTCTCTCTCTCTCTCTCTCTCTCTCTCTCTCTCTCTCTCTCTCTCTCTCTCTCTTTCTCTCTCTCATAACTGCATTAATAACTGCATAAAGCAGGGGACACACTTACTGTAAGGCCGGTTATGAATGTAATTTGATACTTATGTGATCACGCCCAAACGCGTGTTCAGCTCATTCAGTCTGTGTTCACAGTCGCTGTTTAAAATCTGCTGCAGTCGATAAAATTACGCTTTGGCGTCGATAAAATTAGCAACGGAGGCATGGGATTAGATGCGTAAGAAATTAGTCCAACATACAACAGCGTTTTAATGACAAAAACTTGACAAACGTCTGGATGAAATGTTAGGTGAAATTCTCGTACAAATACCAACAAAGCTTAATTACAATGAAATATAATGTCTCAGTATACAATCAGTTCACGAATTGAAATCAAAGATTAATACTCGTATATGGTTTTAAATCAACATGAAATCAGCACATCTATTATTACAAAATACTGTAAAACAGAAAATATACAAACCACTTACAGGCAGTTCCTGCTAAGGAGAAACCGAAACATAAGAGGATTATTGCAGCTGGAACAATCTTCACCATGTGCTTTGATTACTAAATCTAACTCCCTGATTCAGCCTGCAACGCCACACTCGACCGCTAGAGGTCCTGATTACTCTACAAGCTCAGAGGGCAGAGCACGCATTAACTGAAGAACTAACTGATGTGACGTCACTTCAAACTAAATCAGGCCACAACAAAGTTCGTCACATCAGTTTGTTCTTCGATTAATGTGTTTGAACATTCAAACATGAAAACCTATTCTAGTAGATCAAATCAAGAGTTATAAAACATAATGGGTCCTCTCTAAATCTTTATTTTGTCCACTTAAATTAACAGTAAGAATGGAAAGATACAATCAAGATAATGACTAAATTTACTGTTACATTAACTTTATATCGGTAATGTATGCAACCACACATTTTTTAATGATTAACTAATAGCATTTTGCATTCATGTTTTGTCTCCTGTGTGTTTTTAATATTATCATACGTTTCTTCGAGTGTTCATTGTCACTTCAATGCAACAGCACTTCAAATGTCAGTGTCTTGCACAATTCTGGCAGTAATACATACCATAAAGAGCACGTGCATATGAACGGTGTTAGTTTAATGCTCTGTAAATAGTGTGAACACATCTGTATATCTCCATTGGTACATCCCGAATGCTTTTTTCCCATAGGACGTGTTTCTCATCTTCTTCTCGCTTGTGAGTCCTGCCTCTTTCGAGAACGTCCGTGCAAAGGTGAGCGCTTTCTCCTTCAGAGTACGAGGTAAAACCAACCTAGCAGACATTGTTACCAGTGCTGGATGTTGTGATAATGTGAAATGCCGTGTGTTCAGTGGTATCCAGAAGTGAGACACCACTGTCCAGCCACTCCGATCATCCTGGTGGGAACCAAGCTTGATCTGAGAGACGATAAGGACACCATCGAGAAGCTGAAGGAGAAGAAACTCACGCCCATCACGTATCCTCAGGGCCTGGCCATGGCCAAAGAGATCGGTAGGTGCTTAAACACGCCGCCAAAACACTTCAGTGGACTACTTTAGTAGTGCCTTTCACCTTAAAGGTGCTGTATATCTTTTGTTTTCTGTACTAAAGCATACAAATACAGATATTAGGGAAACATGCTGAGTTCACACTAGGGCTGCACGATATTGAAGAAAAATGCGATATGCAATAACTCATTAGATAATGTGATATGCGATACAATAATGCTTAAAAAGTGTGTAAAGTAAACTTAAATTATCTTTAAAATATATTTAAAATTGTATAACCTACATACGTGTTTCACATTATTTTTGTGACAAGAAAACATCCCTACAACTTGAAACAAAACTGAAAGTGAACAGCAGTGTTCCCTTTCGTTGTCACTCCGAGTTCCGTCGGATGACGACGAATGGGGTTTCGCTTAGGAATCCTATCGACTTCGAGTACTACAAAAACGAGCCAATGGCAAAGAAATGCCATGGGTCTGCGGAATTTGCATGGCGCAACTCCGCCCCACCTCGTGGGTATAAAAGGAGGAAGCCCGGCAGAATACAGACATGTTTTCGCTTCGGAGCAAAGAGTATCTCTTCACTCCACAGCCATTTCTGACTTCACTCTACGAGACGAGCCACTCTCTCCGGTGTTGGTGTGACGGCGATCTGCAGCGAGTTCACATTGCCTGCTGATCTGTGCAGTGATCTGCCAATGAGTGTGTTTCTCCCTGCTCGCTTCAACATCGCGGAGTTTTTTCTCCTCTCACAAAAGAGCTCGGACGCGGCACGTCTTTTTAAAGACGGCTCGCCCGTGCATTTCTGGTTGCGGTCGACTCATTTTCGATTTTGATGGGCACATTCTCTGCTCTGCGTGCTTGGGCTTGATCACGCTAGAGCAGCGTTTGTGGATGACTCACGTTCTCCCCGCGGGAACGTGACCATCGCGTCATTACGGTCGAGACTCAATGATCTCGTTAGAGAGAGAGTCCCCTCATCCACACCCCGATCTAACACTCTCCACGTGAGGTGCTACTTCGGCTGGTGGCCAGTGTGACCTGAGGGTGTGAGTGTGGAACAAATCCGCCGACTGTTTGTCCGTGGACCACGCCCCCCTCTTCAGTGACGCAACCTGCGAGTGTTCAGGGGATTCCCCGGGTCTATTTTCGGATGCCCCGCGGGTTTCCCTTGACGCTCCAGAATCGGATCTGTTGTCCATCGCAGCATCACAGGGCGGGCTAGAATCTTCAGGAAGTGAAGATTCGACAGTACTGCCACTTTCGGGTGTGCATATGGCATTTGTCGAGTCAGATCCTGAGATGACGGCCATGCTTTCCCGGGCCGCTGCGAGCATCGGACTAGAGTGGAACCTTTCACCCTGTCCGAGCGCTCGCTGCTGGGCGATTGGTTTTGGGTGTGGCCGCTGACTCCTGTCGGCGTCCACTCCAATGCCTTACTTCCCGGATGTGCATCAGGAGATCTCGAAATCCTCGAAGACCCCCATGTCTTCCAGCGATCCCTCCCTTCCCTCGACGGGGCCGCTGCCCATGGGTACACTGGGGTCCCCCCGGTTGAACGCTCTGTTGCGATGCTACTGTGTCCTCAGAGTGCTTCCTCTCGGCGCGATCCTAAGCACCCGTCCGAAGCCTGTAGTTTTTTGTCTACACTTGTGGCGAATTCCTATAGCGCTACAGGACAGGCAGCCGCCTCACTGCATGCCATGGCCATTCTGCTGGTCTACCAGACCCAGATGCTCACGGACATGCACGAGGGCGGGACTGACCCAGGGCTCTTTAATGAGCTGCGCGCCGCCACTGACCTTGCTCTCCGAGCGACGAAAGTGGCTGTACGCTCCCTGGGTCAGGTCATGTCCACCATTCTGTGGCTGAACCTGTCTGATGTGCAGGATGTCGGGCGGACCCATCTGCTTGACACCCCCATATCCCAGGTCGGCCTCTTCGGCGGTGCATTTGAGGGCTTTACCCAACAGTTCTCAACCGCCCACGAGCAGACTGAGGCTTATTCTGCCCCGACGGCCCCGCCGTCCGAGCAGATCTCTCAGTCTGCCCACCGCCGAAGGCGCCCTCCTGCGGCTCCCACCCCGCCCGTTTACCCGGGCTGGCTCTGGAAGCCGCAGGGGGACGCCACAGCCCTCTCCAGCCCCGCCCCCCGCTATACGCCGGGTTAAGCGGCACTCTTGAGATGGGCTGCTCAGAGATGGGACTCAGTTCTTTCCAGGAGCTGGTAGCAGGGCCACTCCTTTCCCTGGTGGAGGGCCGGGGAAGAATCCTTATTCCCAGAAAGAACTGACTCTCCCATCTCTGAGCACACAGAATTCTCGGACGACACGGTGCGCCGCCCCCGGGCCGTGCACCCCTCGTCCTCCTCTGTCCCAGAGCCGGATGACAGTGCGCGCCGTCCCCGGACCGTGCCACTCTCATCCTCCTCTGTCGCCAGACCCCTGGCAGAGTAGACCACCGTGGAACGTTCGTCCTTCCCTGGTCTCCTCTGTCAGTACGCGGTCTATGACTGTGCCCCCACACCGGGCTGCTATGCCGTCCACGTCCGGGCCAGTCATACCGCCTCGCTGCCCCACCGACGGGAAGTCTGTGGTTCGCGTGACCCCGCTGGACCAGTTCTTGGGAGCCTGGCTAGAGCTTCCCAACCTGTCCCGCTGGGTCGCACGAATGATCAGGCTCGGCTACGCGATTCAGTTCGCGCGGTCTCCTCCCCGCTTCAGGGGAGTCCGCTCCACTATGGCCGGTGGCAATGCTCCTATCATGAGAGCGGAGGTTGCTACCCTGCTGGCGAAGGGTGCGATCGAGACTGTCCCGGCTTCTTCAGCCCGTACTTCATTGTCCCGAAAAAAACCAGTGGCTTACGGCCAATCCTGGACCTGCGCGTGCTGAACCGCTCCCTTCACAGGATGCCGTTCAAGATGCTCACTGCCAAACGCATTTTCGAATGTGTGAGGCCCCAGGATTGGTTTGCAGCGATCGACCTGAATGACGCCTACTTTCATGTCTCCTTTCTCCCTCTACACAGACCGTTCCTACGGTTTGCTTCGAGGGGCAGTCATATCAGTACGCGGCTCTACCATTCGGGCTAGCCCTGTCTCCTCGCGTCTTCACGAAGGTCGTCGATGCAGCCCTTGTTCCCCTTCGGGAACATGGGGTTCGCATCCTAAACTATCTTGACGACTGGATGATCCTAGCTCACTCTCGAGACCAGGTTTGCGAACACAGGGACTTAGTGCTCCGGCACTTAGCCCGTCTGGGCCTTCGGGTCAACTGGGAGAAGAGCAAACTGTCCGCGCAGCTTACAAGCGAGCGCACGCAGTCACTGCTGACTTGTCTGAGACAGTTTGAGGGCAAGAGTGCGGTTCCACTGAAACTTTTTCAGAGGCTCCTGGGGCATATGGCATCTGCAGCCGTGGCAACGCCGCTCGGATTGCTTCATATGAGACCGCTTCAGCTTTGGCTTCGCGACCGAGTCCCAAAGTGGGCATGGCAACACGGCACTCTCCGAGTACTAGTTACTCCGACCTGCCGTCAGACCTTCACCCCGGGGTCGAACCTCAGTTTCTACGGGCCGGAGTGCCCCTGGAACGAGCTTCCCGGCATGTTGTTGTAACAACAGATGCCTCTGCCACGGGCTGGGGCACCATGTGCAATGGATGTGCTGCCGCGGGCTCCTGGACAGGACCCCACCGCTTATGGCACGTCAATTGCCTCGAGTTGCTGGCTGTACAGCTCGCCCTGCGCCGCTTCCGAGCCGTACTCAGGGGCCAGCATGTACTAGTCCGATCAGACAATACCGCGACTGTAGCGTACATCAACCGTCAAGGTGCTCTGCGCTCCCGCCGTATGTCGAAACTCGCCCGCCACCTCCTCTTATGGAGTCAGAAGCATCTGAGGTCGCTTCGTGCCGTTTATATTCCTGGAGCCCTGAACTGTGCAGACGAGCTCTCACGGTTTCAGCCCCTCTCTGGAGAATGGCGACTCCATCCCCAGTCGGTTTAGCTGATTTGGGACCAGTTCGGGGACGCACAGATAGATCTGTTTGCCTCTCACGACTCGACCCATTGCACCCTGTATTACTCCCTGACCGAGGGCACGCTCAGCACGGATGCACTGGCGCACAGCTGGCCGCTGGGCCGCAAATATGCGTTTCCCTCAGTGAGCTTTCTTGCGCAGACCATGCGCAAGGTCAGGGAGGAAGAGGAGCAGGTCTGGCTGGTCGCGCCGTATTGGCCCACCCGAACCTGGTTCTCCGAACTCATTCTCCTCGCGACAGCACCTCCTTGGCCCATACCTCTGAGGAAGGACCTACTTTCTCAGGGACAGGGCACCCTCGTCCCGATCTCTGGAGCCTCCACGTATGGCTCCTGGACAGGACGAGGCAGGTTTGAGTACCCTACCACCAGCGGTGGTGGCTACCATCACTTCCGCTAGAGCGTTGTCCACAAGACACGTCTACGCGTTTAAGTGGAACCTCTTCGTCAACTGGTGCTCTTCTCACCGAGTAGACCCCCGGAGATGTTCGATCAGCGTCGTGCTTTCCTTCCTTCAAGATGGGTTGGAGCGAAGGCTGTCTCCCTCCACCCTCAAGGTCTATGTCGCCGCTATTGGCGCACAGCATGATCTTATAGAAGGTAAGTCGGTGGGGAAGCACGACCTGATCGTCAGGTTCCTGAGAGGAGCGAGGAGACTGAATCCTCCTCGCCCTCCTCTCGTACCCTCTTGGGACCTCGCAGTGGTTCTATGTGCCCTGCGGAGTGCTCCCTTTGAGCCTTTGCAGTCAGTCGAGCTTAACTTCCTGTCTATAAAGACAGCGATTCTGACTGCATTGGCCTCCATCAAGAGGGTAGGGGACCTGCATGCATTCTCCGTTGACGAAGCGTGCCTGGAATTCGGGTTGGCTTACTCTCACGTGATCCTGGGACCCCGGCCTGGATATGTGCCCAAGGTTCCTACCTCTCCCTTCCGGGACCAGGTGCTGAACCTGCAAGCGCTGCCCCCAGAGGAGGCAGACCCAGCCTTGGCACTGCTCTGTCCAGTACGTGCTCTCCGCATCTATGTAGACAGAACGCAGTGTTTCAGGACCTCAGACCAGCTCTTTGTCTGTTATGGTGGGAAGCTGAAGGGAAAGGCTCTCTCCAAGCAAAGGTTGTCTCACTGGATAGTGAGACGCCATTGCTTTGGCATACCAGCAGCAAGGTCGACCGTGCCCCCTTGGTGTGACCGCCCACTCCACCCGGAGTGTGGCGTCCTCATGGGCTCTAGCGCATGGCGCCTCGCTAACAGACATCTGCAGAGCTGCAGGCTGGGCGACACCCAACACATTCGCCAGATTCTACAATCTCCGAGTGGAGCCAGTGTCCTCTCATACTCGCTTCAACCAGCTAGTACCGGACCCGCTCAGGTGTCTTCGCTTGCTCGCCATTCCACTCCACTTGCTCGCCATTCCACTCCACGGACTGGATACGTGCGATATTCTCCTCAGGTGAGCTTCCCCGAAAGCCCTGAGTTCCTCCAGCACTCCTGACGTCGGCGCCAGTGTCTTTGCCTGCGCGTCGGCTAGGTGCCTCCCGTGTGCATGGTCCCTCCTCCGAGCGACCCCCACATGTGTATTTCCACTGTAAGCCTCTCTGAGCATGTGTCTTTCCCTTAGCAAGCCACCTTGCCACCCCTGGGGTTGAAATATTCCACCTGCGGCTGGACACCCCAGTGTTCTCCGTATGCATCCCTCTGGGTCATATGTGTATTCTCTAAGTCCCCCCCCCCCCCTCTGTAATTGCATATTTCCTCTAAGCTATGGGATATGCTCCCCAGTGTACCTTGGTATTCCTGTGCTAAATAGGAGTCCTTCGTCCGTGCTAGTCTCACGACAGGGATCTCAGATTTACGCAGGGCACTGGAAGACAGCCGAGAAAGTGGCGTGATTAGACTGTTATCCCCATTCGTCGTCATCCGACGGAACTCGGAGTGACAACGAAAGGGAACGTCTCGGTTACGGATGTAACCCTCGTTCCCTGAGTAGGGAACGGAGACGTTCCGTCTTCCTGCCACTTTCCGCTGTACCACGGGGATCGCCTGAGCTCAGTCTTGGCTCCTCAGCGAAGAAACATGTCTATATTCTACCGGGCTTCCTCCTTTTATACCCACGAGGTGGGGCGGAGTTGCGCCATGCAAATTCCGCAGACCCATGGCATTTCTTTGCCATTGGCTCGTTTTTGTAGTACACGAAGTCGATAGGCTTCCTAAGCGAAACCCCATTCGTTGTCATCCGACAGAACGTCTCCGTTCCCTACTCAGGGAACGAGGGTTACATCCGTAACCGAGACGTTTTACTGAATCATAAGAAGTATTTTAACATCAGTGTAAACCACGGGGTTTCAGGAAGGAATATCATAATTTATTATTGTCAGCCACTCTAAACATTGTAAAAACAGTTTGAATATTATCACTGCACTGATAAAAAACTTAAATAATGATTAAATTCAAATGTATTGCACCTAAAAGTGAAATAAAAACTGTACTGTACTTAAAATATGAAGTAAAAAAAAGTACTGTACTTAATAAAAAAATGAACACAGGCTGTGTATTCATATTTAACATTTTTACACGTACATTCAACATATTCTGGCTGACCCCCGTGAGTTTTTCAAGGTGACCGTTATTTATCACTTTATTGCTTCCATGGCATTTATTGTCACATGACACAATAGCGCTGAATGACTGATGGTCTGCTTTTATTTCCTTTTTTATTAAAAATATTCACAAAATTGTTAGCTATGGCATGAAATATCTGATATTCCGATTGTCAAATATGTGCAAGTGGAGGTGTTCTGTTTAAACGCCCGTATAACGATCGCATTAGTTGAGCTGTATGCGCCTCCATGTTAGTTTGTGCCACCGTTCAGAGAATCGGATCTGTTGGATTTACAACAAGTGAGTTCATCCACTTCTCCCGAAATACATGAAAGTAAGTGGCTGGTGAACTGGGAGAAGAAGTTAACTTTAAAGTTACTTACACATCTGTGTTACTTACACATGTGTATCTGATATGAATAAAACGTGTCGTCTAATTATAATGGAAATTATTATTATTGCCGCTTCCATAGACATCAGTGTGTATTTCACAAATTCTAAATTAGTGGGCTACCGATATTGGTTTTTTGATGGCCGATGCCGATATCTTAGAGAGCAGGGCTGCCGATATATATATATATATAAGGGGTGTAACAGTTCACAAAATTCACGGTTCGGTTCGATATGATACAGGGGTGACACGGTTCGGTATGTTTTCGATACAGCAAAAAGAAAGAAATGCTTACATTTTTATTTATTTATTTAAACTAACATCATAAAGTGATTTTTAAAATGTTAATTTATTTATTAAAACTAACTTTTTTTAAATCTTTTTTTTAATTTGAACAATGATGGAGCTATAGCCTACTTGACTCTTCTTAGCATATAAAACAAAAACAGCTCCTTATGAAATTTTTTTAATGTAATATTGTAGTAGTTATAAACAAAGGTTTATTTTATTTCGGGTTTATTTTAAGTTTGCAAGGCACCAGATTAACATTTGAAGGCAGCAATTTTATTCATAATGTCGACATATAGCCGATATTTATTTATATATATATATATTATATTTATTTTAGTCAATATTTAATAAATTAGAAATAAATTAGAAAAAGCATGCTTATACTTTAGATGGCAACCTCTTGAATCTGCAATCCTATTACAGTATTTTTCATAAATACAGTATTTAATTGTTTAAAAATATATCAATATGAGAATAAAAAGGAAGTAAACACTGTATCGGCACTGAGTAATCTGGTAATTTCGTGAAAATGAAGTATCTTTGAAGATGTTTGTCCTGAACCCGTGCTCTTGTGTGTGTGTGTGTGTGTGTGTGTGTCAGGGGCGGTGAAGTACCTGGAGTGCTCGGCGCTCACACAGCGCGGGCTGAAGACGGTGTTCGACGAGGCCATCCGGGCCGTGCTGTGCCCCCCGCCGGTCAAGAAGAGGGGCAGAAAATGCTCACTTCTCTAGAGACTGATGCCACCCAAACTGTGTTTCTGAAGGAGAAACGAGACCCGACTTTCATCTCTCAACTTTTCCTCCATCGTAATCACCAGTACAACTTTACTCACTTCACAAAACATTTAGTAAAACATTGATCCCCGTCTCCCTTAGACAAACACGTGCTATTGGACGAGCTGTGGCCTTTGACTAACGGATATTAACTCTTTTTTTAAAGACGGTTAACAGTGTCCTGAAGTTGGTTCCTTCCATTGAGAACCCATAATGTTTGTTTACAGTCTTTGTTTGAGAGAGAAATGAAGATCTTGCCAAATAGCACTACATTAGCATACACCACATTTCTTGCTTTTTAACCCCTAAAGGGCTGCAACCATTTGGCTAACCATTGGCTACTGTGAAGCCAGGGATATTGAATGAAAGAGTTATTTGTGAATCGTGAGGATCAGTAAATGGAGGATGAGGCGTCCGGACAGATTTTTATATATCTTCATTATGGGGTTATGTGCACACTATTTGCCATTTGTTTTGGGGGTATTTAATGTAATTTAAGGCACGAAAACACGACGCATCACGTCACTTCCGAATTTTAGAAATAATGTTTTGCATAAAGAAAAAAAAAAAGAAGCTTGTATTTTTAGGACCATTTTCATCACAATATACGGTAATTTTAAAGTTCTTTTTGAATTAAAGTACAACCAATATTACCAGTGGTTGATGAATAATTTAAATAATATATTTTTCTATTAAAGTAACTCGTTTTTTTTTTTTATATGAGGACTTTGATTGTGGAAAATGGGCTTAATTGCAACTACAATAAATATGCAAAACCATAAGTATGTACAGTGATCCTAAAACTAGGCTTCATTTTATTTACTCAAAGTATATTTTCCATATTTTCTTTATTTTCTGGGAAATTCACGTGTTTTGTCGGAGGATATCAGGGTCTGAAATATCTAATTTAGTGTCAATCTCAATATATATCGTTAAATCAACACCTTGATGCTCTTTGGGCATTTAAAAATTCACCTTACAGCCATATATATATATATATATATTTATATATATATAAAAACAAATTTTTAGAAACTTTTTCTTTTTGACACTTTTATATGTGCTAATGTTACAGAAAGCAACAGACTACTGTCAGATCGTACACTACAGAAATTGGTTCATGTGAAGTCGGTTTATTCCCATTACACTCATACGTTGAACACTTCTTATATGGTCTGGGTGAATACTCGATTCTGATTGGCTGCAGGGTGTCCGTTAAAAAGTGATAGAGGACACCTAGTAAAGGAGTTCTGGTGAAACTGACTGTTTACCGTTCGAAATTAATAAATAAATGCGCTGCCTACAACAGCTGTGAGTAACCATAGCAACAGGCAGTCAAAGTATCCGTTAACAATTTGCTCTATCAAAACAAACATCTAACGTTAGTTAGATATTACATAGCCTACTAATACAACAATGAGCGTCTTCGTTATTTCTTTTAACATTTATGAAGAATATGACAAATTTGACGACTGTGATGCTGCTGAAGAAAGAAAAAATGTAAATAAAACGGAGATTGATCCGATTAATGTATTGCCCTCTATAAGCGCAAATCGCTGGAGTGCAGAACTAATTGTTTTTTTTTGTTTGATTGTTGTTTGATTAATTGTTTTATGTGTAATAAAAAAATAACTATGCCTACCTTTGTGTTTCATGAAAAAAAAAATGAATTTTTGAACCTGAAGGCTTCTACAAGCTGAGCGGACTATAAATATCTCCGGTTGCTAAATAAACCTGACGGCAAGTTATTATTTGTAAAAACTAGATTTAGCCTAATTTAAATATAAACTAATGTTTTAAAAATGTTTTATTTGGGAAGTGACCTTATGGCTTGTTTCCACCGAGCGGTACGGTACGGTACGGTACGCAATTATTTGCGTTTCCACTGTCAAAAGTTGTGAATGGTACCAAAAAGCCGAACCGTACCACTTTTTGGGTACCCTTCCGTTGGGGTACCTAGCACAGTGGAACGGTACTAAAAGGTGGAGCTAGACTCACTGCAGAACGCTGATTGGTTGACAGAGGATCGTCACTTGCGCGTGCTACAAGGACATTAGAAGTGCCATTTTTTAATATACAGTTGAAATATAATACTACTGTTATCGTGTCACAAAGTGTAGTTTTAGGAGATTTTCAGGCGAGAATGTAGCTTTTTAAAGCTCAAATCTGTAGTTTATTTATAGATTTATGATAATTTGAAGATCCATTCCAAGCAATCACCGGACGCTCTGCGCTCGTGCACCCCGCCTGGAACAGCCTTTCCTCGGCTAGCCGTTCTGATGTTTGCCGCTGACTCTGACGTCTCTGTAGTGGTTAAACATGAGATATAATTCGTCTTGTATAACAGGCGATCTTTGGTCTCGTGAATCTATAATTCGTTCCCTGGCCAATAGTTTTGGCAGAAGGCTAAGTGAAGTTTCATATATTTGAGCGCTGAATTTGTATATTTGACTGAATTGTTTGCTTTATTACAAGACCATCTGTAATGTTGTTTTAAAAACATATTTGTATAGTACTGCATATAACACAGTATGAGAGTTACTTGTTTTTCTTTTGCTTTGTTGTTTGTTATTTGTATGTACAGCACTTTGGTAAACACCTGTTGTTGTAAAAAGGTGCTTTATAAATAAACTTGATTTTATTTTATTTTATTTGATGTAACCTTGCTTTCACTTGAAATGTGTCTCCACATTAACATCCCACACATCCTTGAATTTAAGGGTATTTGACCTGGAACGTCCTTGAATTTGAAGTTAACCGAAGTGTGGGAACCCTGATTATAGGATAGATGTGAAAAGGTTTTATGGTTTACAACACGCACTACCAGTTTTACCCAGATAATATGATATTGCTGAATGAAACCATGTATTCAATATTTAAAGAGGCTTGAATAAAAAAATAAAATAAAAATTATCCTTCATAATCAGCAGATTGTGATATTGCTGCAGGTCCCCAAAAGTTTGCAGATTGTTTTCCTTTGGTTCATGCAGAAGCTCAAACGTGCTGTGTAACATGAGAATGAACCTCATTGGTTCTTGCAGAAGCTCAAACATGCTGCGTAACATGAGAATGAACCTCATTGGTTCTTGCAGAAGCTCAAACATGCTGCGTAACATGAGAATGAACCTCTTTGGTTCTTGCAGAAGCTCAAACGTGCTGCGTAACACATGAGAATGAACCTCATTGGTTCTTGCAGAAGCTCGTAACATGAGAATGAACCTCATTGGCTCTTGTTGAAGCTCAAACGCGCTGCGTAACACGAGAATGAACCTCATTCGTTCTTGCTGAAGCTCAAACGTGTTGCGTAACATGAGAATGAACCTCATTGGTTCTTGCAGAAGCTCAAACATGCTGCGTAACATGAGAATGAACCTCTTTGGTTCTTGCAGAAGCTCAAACGTGCTGCGTAACACATGAGAATGAACCTCATTGGTTCTTGCAGAAGCTCAAACATGCTGCGTAACATGAGAATGAACCTCATTGGTTCTTGCTGAAGCTCAAACATGCTGCGTAACATGAGAATGAACCTCTTTGGTTCATGCAGAAGCTCAAATGTGCTGCGTAACATGAGAATGAACCTCATTGGTTCTTGCAGAAGCTCAAACGTGCTGCGTAACACGAGAATGAACCTCATTGGTTCTTGCAGAAGCTCAAACGTGCTGCGTAACACGAGAATGAACCTCATTGGTTCTTGCAGAAGCTCAAACGTGCTGCGTAACACGAGAATGAACCTCATTGCGTAACACGAGAATGAACCTCATTGGTTCTTGCAGAAGCTCAAACGTGCTGCGTAACACGAGAATGAACCTCATTGGTTCTTGCAGAAGCTCAAACGTGCTGCGTAACACGAGAATGAACCTCATTGGTTCTTGCTGAAGCTCAAACGTGCTGCGTAACACACGAGAATGAACCTCATTGGTTTTTGCTGAAGCTCAAACGTGCTGCGTAACACACGAGAATGAACCTCATTGGTTCTTGCAGAAGCTCAAACATGCTGCGTAACATGAGAATGAACCTCTTTGGTTCATGCAGAAGCTCAAATGTGCTGTGTAACACGAGAATGAATCTCATTGGTTCTTGCTGAAGCTCAAACGTGCTGCGTAACATGAGAATGAACCTCATTGGTTCTTGCAGAAGCTCAAACATGCTGCGTAACATGAGAATGAACCTCATTGGTTCTTGCAGAAGCTCAAACGTGCTGCGTAACATGAGAATGAACCTCATTGGTTCTTGCAGAAGCTCAAACATGCTGCGTAACATGAGAATGAACCTCTTTGGTTCATGCAGAAGCTCAAATGTGCTGTGTAACACGAGAATGAATCTCATTGGTTCTTGCTGAAGCTCAAACGTGCTGCGTAACATGAGAATGAACCTCATTGGTTCTTGCAGAAGCTCAAACATGCTGCGTAACATGAGAATGAACCTCATTGGTTCCTGCAGAAGCTCAAACATGCGGCGTAACATGAGAATGAACCTCATTGGTTCTTGCAGAAGCTCAAACGTGCTGCGTAACATGAGAATTAACCTCATTGGTTCTTGCAGAAGCTCAAACATGCGGCGTAACATGAGAATGAACCTCATTGGTTCTTGCAGAAGCTCAAACATGCTGTGTAACATGAGAATGAACCTCTTTGGTTCATGCAGAAGCTCAAATGTGCTGTGTAACATGAGAATGAACCTCATTGGTTCTTGCAGAAGCTCAAACGTGCTGCGTAACACGAGAATGAACCTCATTGGTTCTTGCTGTGTATGGAGGGACAGAAAGCTCTCAGATTTCATCAGAAATATCTTCATTTGTGTTCTGAAGATAAACACAAGTCTTCAGGGTTTGAAACAACATGAGGGTGAGATAATTAATGTCATAATGACAGTCATATGCTTTTCAACATTATATTTTAGTTTTATTTAAAAGTCAGCATGAAACAGAAGCTGCTATAGTCTTTTCTTCCCTATTGTGACGTATATCAGAGTGAAGCGGCTTCTGGAACAAGAACAAATGTGGGCGAGCTTGATTTTGTCTGTGGGGAATTGATTGGATGGTTGTGGTTCACTATTGGTAGATCTCATGTGAGTGACTGGTTGTCCCGCCCTCGCGCCAGAAAACGTCTAGGTTACGACTGTAACCTCTGTTCCCTGAGAACAGGGAACGAGACAATACGTCATCGACGTTATGGGGAACGCCTCAGGCGTGACAGGTGTCTGAAATCACTATCAAATCACGTCAATCACATTGACCGGCGACAGCCTGTGAATCATTAGCGTGAATTATTAACGTGCGACCTGGAAGTATATAAGGGCGCCTTGCAAACATGACAAATCACCTTATCGTCTGAAGGGACTGTACGGCAGGCAAGCCCCGAGGCATGGCAGGGAGACGTATTGTCTCGTTCCCTGTTCTCAGGGAACAGAGGTTAGAGTCGTAACCTAGACGTTCCCTTTCGAAGGGAACTCAACAATACGTCATCGACGTTATGGGGAACGATATACCAACGCCACCATGCTAAGGGGAGTGCATGCCCATTGGCAGTGACAACTGTCCGAACC